AACATAGTAATAACCCTGGATTATGAAATGTCCTCATGCCTGTAAAAACTTTTCTCCCCGTTGATTATGAACATTGTGACGGTTAGCGTGCATGATCTTCTTGATTGAAATGTGAGCTCGTGCTTGCAAAATTTATACACAATACAAACAGATGCCACCTCGACCCAAAACCGGGTGACGCTGTGGACGTTTCCTGTACCTAACTCTCAAGAAATTCCATGGATATTGACTTGATATCCATGCAACCAGCTTATCCTCTCCCAGGAGCCAGCCGCCGTAAATTAAGTAACAGATCATTGCCGAATATTTTTGCGTAACTTCAATCAAGCTGTGGTGCACAAGCGCATGAGCAGATCGTCTCTTTCAGATCGGTGACGCGTGTGCATTAACAGGAACGCAAGTACTAGTGAGATGTTCTGCTAGATGGCGTGGCTCACACAAGCAACAAGGGACAGAAGTGACTGTTACAGAAATGCAGTTTTTAGAGACGGGAGCAGAATGCACAAAACCGCATTTCGCGATCGAGTGCCGCGGTATTGCACGCGAGTAGACGGTTACAAACATTAGTGACCTCACATTCTTTTTCGGATATTGTTCGGTCCCAAAGCGCCAAGTCCCTCAGTTACAAAGCGTAATCGACGTAAGTTTCCGGCTCAACGCATTACATAGTGCGAACGCAGTCAGTCTGTTGACGCCTAGTGTTCGGGTACGCGAATCTGCGCAAAAATATGTTTAGTACCAGTGAATAGTCCGATAATATGAAAGTGTCATACGCAGCCCCAGTCACGACAATGCAACTACCTGTTTCGTCGGAAGAAAACGTAGTTTCAAACGCTATGTGTGACCATGTGATAATTCATGATGTTCAAAAGGAACCGAATGCAATAAGGATCATGGGTGTTGTGTAGAAAAAGCCGGGAGAAGCGAAGTTTGTTCAACATCAGAAAGGCTCCACAGATATACATACAGAGTAAAAGAAACAAACTGGTTTGAAACAACGAACAGGACTAGATTATTCAGCTCCAATCTCCACTGCCTCACCTGCCCCGGAGTCAGGAGGCTGTGGGCTGTTTACGGGTTGGCTGACGGTTTTGACCTCTGCGTCATCGGCATATGGTGAGTGGTCTTGGGTGGGCTCCGGTGACCGAGCTACCGGTGGTTCACTATCAGAATTTTGATTAACACCATCATCGTCAGTATGGTCCTTCATGTTACACGACCGGCTGTAGTCGAATGACGGATTGGAGTTATCGTTGCTCGGACTGGATAGGATATCACGCGCTGACATGTGCGTGTCTACCGGTTGATCCTCATCCGCAGGCTGTGATAAACCGGGTGGATACTGCTGTGGACCAGGATAAACTGGGGGGTTTTCCTGCATCTGAGCCAGATACTGTTGTTGTTGTTGCATTTGTTGTTCCATTTGGCGTTTGGCGCGTAACTGTGCGACGAATTGGTCCAATTCCGCCAAATTTTCATCAGAGTCTGATCGTTTTGCGTTGGTCAAAGGTGCCAAAGGTGGAGTACTGATACGCGCACGTGAAATCACTCTGGAAAAGATTGGAAAAAGCACAAATGTAGAGACTCATTTGCGTGCTAAGTCAATTATGGACAATGAGAACAGGACGTTTCGAATTTTTGCATTACGAACGTCTATTTAGTTTAGGTATTGGGCCAATGTTTTGACAATGCTTGTTTTTATCTTACCGTAATTATGAGTAAATGTGTTTTGATTTGTCATGTGCTTCTCCACCTTTTAGTTCAAACTGCGAGTGAAGGTTATTCCCACAGAGATATTTTGTATCGTTCGGACGAACTATTCATCAGGCAATAACCCTCGAGCTCCAGCTAACATGAGATTGTATGCATACTCTTGAGTAGAGTTGTCATCATCACAACAACCTGGAGGTCGTGAGTTCGAATCCCACTAACACCGGGTGTCAGTACTGTCTATTCGTACCTCGNTACGGTTCATTGCAACCAACTTCCTGAAAACTGTTTGTGCCATGTCATGTAAATTTACTCAAAAAGGACCCCAAAAAAATGATCGTTTTCATTGCCCTGACTCTGTGACAGCTCCAGCAACTCGTATCGTATCTACATATGTTAATCGCGTGATTTCTGAGAATAAATATAGAACTGATTTATAATCCCTGGGATTTGAACCCTTTTAGTTCCATGCCACATGCGAAATTGCCTTGGATTCAGTTAAAAAGATCGTCTTCCAACTGAGATAGCAGTCATACCTATTTCAGCAACCGTTTTCTTTGGAAACTGGACAATTCATGAGGATTGTTTTCGCTTTCCATTCACGTAAGTGAAACCAAACGTGTGTGGATCATTTGTTTCTGTGTTAATTTGAAATCCTGATACTGAATACACGAAGCTCGAATAAGCTCCAGAGCTCGTAAAATCCGAGACGAAGGTGGCAGGTATGTGTTAGGCCAGACCAGAGGAACGTGATAAGGTGAATGAGGCCAACACATTGATTTACATTGACTGTCGACTAATGAACACACATAATCAATCCATTTGTACGGTTGAAAACATTTAGTGTTTTCACTTCGATTCAAACAACGGAAACTCACTGCCGATGGAACCTGAGGCTCAGTGTATCCTCAATCAAACGATTGTCTCAGACAATAGAATTTTGTAGAAAACCTTCTTGCTACTCATAAGTAACTAAGATAGTTACCAAACTTGAAATTATTTGGCTAACTGAAGTCATGCCCCTATTGTGACAAGTCCAGTGGCCCCCATGGACGCCGCCTACGCTTTGTACGCGCATGCTCTACCAGATGATATACGAGGCCACACTGATTGTGTTTTGTTTTCACATTCGAATCTCCCAACTTACAGAGGAATTGGCACCCACCAGTGAGCCGACATAAAACTTCAATCTGCGGAACAACAATTTGAACAAATAACATTGCCTTCGAAGTTCATTCGGTGAGCTCTGGTGAATTCTAAAAAAGGCTCGTTTACATGCCAACTGGTAGCCGCCATATGCATTTGTACGATGGATGGGCCATTCGGACGTGAAAGGATCAGTGCCACCGGTGGGGCCTCGTAGCCCATCTGACCGAGTTTGCTTAATACAAAGGCGTAGGCGGCGTTCATGAGTGGATTTGAAACCCAACGAAGCAACTGAACGTTCACAATCTCGACATAAAGTAATTAACATTGAAAAAAACTGGATCGAACGTGACGTCACTCTTCACTGAGGAATACCAGTTCAGACAGATTGGTAGGATCAAAATGAATGCGGGCCTATCTGTGATAACAGTGGATATTCATAGCAGCCTATTTCAGTCCAATTTAAGAAAAAGAACCTAAGATATGATGAATATATATGCCTGTATTCGATTGGACAACACATGATATCTAAAAAGAACACTAAAACTATTCAACAAAAACGTCTAAACAAACTGTTGAAAAATGCACTCACCTGTGACGATTAGCCGGTCGTATTGGTGACGGTGATGCAGACGAAGATCGATTGCTGCGAGACATCGATCGTGACCTGGGACTGCGTGAAGGAGGTGAGCGGGACCGCGAACGAGATGAACGCGGGGAACGTTCAGCGGAACCAGACTGTCCATGCCGCTTACGACGACGGTCAAAACTACGATCACCTGAAGCACCAGAAAGGCCCTCTCGTCTCCGATCATCAAAACTGGTGAGAAAAGGAGAAAAAGAAAATTACGAATATGAAAGTAGCGATAAACTTCTATCATAAGTGTAAGATGTTACTACAAAAGGAAAGCATAGGCCCAACAGTTGCAGAGATCAATGCGCGAGACCTAAAAATAGCACCACCCCGAAGGTATCCGCAAGACTAGGTGCAATTCTCACACATCACCGAACACCCAACTAGAGGGAACTAAGTTTATCGGTAAACTGATTTTGGGGATGTTACATTTTGAGAACCGCAATTAGTGGAGAAAGAAAAAGGACAATTGTAGAGGAACTGACCGATTATTATACCAATTCCCTCTTCGGCCACGATAATCATCCCACTGCCCACGCCAACGGGGGCCTCGACCACGTGCACGTCCAAAGTAACCTCCGCGGTTGCCATAATAGTCTGGACGATGAAAACCTCCAGGTCGACGATCGTAATTCACTGGACCGCCTCCCGGACCACGCCACTGACCCTGATAACCTCCTCGAGGTGAATCACCAACTGCATAGTCTTCGGGAACTCCGCCGGTAAATGAACTCTCACGGCTTTTCTCTGCTACAGGGACAGCACCATTAGTTCCATCATCAACCGCAGGGGCGCTACCCTCTTCCAGTTGATGACGTCGTTCGATTGCACGAATACGAGCTTGAAGACGTTCTTGCAAGCTTTTAGATGTCATTGGAAGGTCATTTTCATTATTGTATACCGTTAACGAGCCATGCTCACCTTCACGTGCGTGACGAGGAGGCGTGAACACCTGGAGCGAAAGATACCATTTGCAGTAAGCACTTCATTTATCATTGTGGGAAGAGGAAACGAAGCATTATGCTATAATCACAATCCAGTCAGTGGTACAAATCATAAGATCAATCTTCTGAACAATTTTTTCGACCCTTTCCCTTGTAAAAAAATATATATTAAATGGATACACAGTTAAAACTATGAGTTCTAAAAATGTGCTTGATAATTAAACAGAAACTCAAGAGGAGGGGTTCAATTATTTTGATCTTTTACGCTTACAGAGCAGATTTTCCACTTTTGTACAACACAACACTGAGACGTGGCGGTGAAATGGTCGTGGAGGTGCTACTGTACACTACAATTTCCGTCCTATGTCTTCATGGAATGTGCTTCATCGCTTTCGCGAAGAGTTCATGGTATGCGCATATCTCGGAAATTGAAGCGTCAATTGAACGAAATAGACACAAACGGTCGACAAAAGAATCACAGTTTGCTGGAACAACGGTCAACATCACAAGCGAAGAGTCAATCATTACATGTAGGAAATACAACTTTCGTTATTAGACTCATAAGAAAAGGCACGATCGGTTCGTCGACTTCATGGCAATGCAAATCCATTAGTAGAATGCATTGTACTAAAACGGCTAGCTCGTCGTGGCACTAAATCTGGTTACATGCGTAGCACAGGTTCCAACTAGCGTAATCAATGGAGATCGACTACTTGCTTCAATGGACGACCGTTATTGAGTGAAACTCCAAGCTTCAAGTCAGCATTGTTTGTCCGGTTTTTCAACCTGACTCGTGCATTCCGACGTAGACAGCGGTGTTCAAACACCGACAATCTTTATCCTATTTTCTTAGGTCTCTGCGCAGTAAACCACAACTGCAGCAGCATAGACTCGACATTTTATGGACAGCCGAATATCGCGACGACGCCACAGATGTCTCGTGTTGGCAAATGCTAACCGAGCCTTTTGTATACGCGCCGACACCTCATCTGTGATGTGTCCGCCAGGTGAGATATAGCTGCCCAGATAGCAAAACTTGTCCACTTCCTCTACTACTTCCCCAGTCAGGGTGAGGTATGGGGCCGGACCAACCCAATCTTGTAGCAACACTTTATACTGAAGGTGCACAACGCATATCGAACATGACTACAGTAGCACTCAAACTATACAGAAAAACTCGCAACCTACCTAGACCTTCACTTAATGGCACAATGTCGTCTGCATACTCTAGATCAAACAGTCTACCACCCGGGAGTAAATCGATACCGCTATCCTCGCACGAGAATAGGGCTGTTTCAAGAATTAAATCTATTACAAAGTTGAATAGAAACGGAGAGAGAGGGCAACGCTGTCGAATACCACCTTCCGTGGTGAACTCGGGCGAAATGGTGCCGTAAGCTCGGACTCGGCTTCGGCTATTATTACAGAAGGATTGTAATATTGAACCAATTTCTCTGGCACAACCTTCAGGGGGATGCAGCGCCAGAGTTTAGACCGGTCGACTGAGTCGAACGCCGCTTTCAGATCGAGGAAGATATAAATGGTGGGTCTGCGAAAGAAGTATCTGTGTTCTAGAATTTGACGAAGAATGAAGATGTCGATACAACCTAGACGATTTCTGAAGCCAGCCTGGTTCTGACGCGTACACCATTCAAGTGCGGCAGACAATCGATGGAGTATGATACCGGCGATAAGTTTAGAGGCAATGTTGATTAAACTAATTCCTCTAAGGTTTTCACAAGAGTATCAGTCACATTCCTTGTAAATCCGTACGATCAGATGGAGGACTGATATCAGCTGACGGTATTTGCGCAGTTGGAGCGGCTAAGAGCAGGTCTGGTGTTGACGGGGACCAGCTGAGCTGTGCCTTAAAATGTTCAACCCAAAGTTCCTGAATTTGAGTCAGTGTGCCGTCAGACTAACTAATTACCTCATGCCTGCTTCCCTTGGACCAGTACTCCTAATTAANACCTTCAGGGGGATGCAGCGCCAGAGTTTAGACCGGTCGACTGAGTCGAAAGCCGCTTTCAGATCGAGGAAGATATAAATGGTGGGTCTGAGAAAAGAGTGTCTGTATTCTAGGATTTGACCAGCCTGGTTCTCACGCATGCACTCTGCACGAGCGGCAGATAATCGACGGAGTATGATCCCTGCGAGGGGTTTAGAGGCAATGTTGATCAAACTAATTCCTCTGTGGTTTTTACAGGAGGACCTGTCGCTCTTATTGTAAATCGGTATGATCACCGATCCATTCTATTTAGTTGGAACCTATTTCTTCTCCGACACTGGCCCTGGAGTTTCGTGAACTCCTAAACCAAGGTTAAGCGTCCATCCTCAAGGACCGAAGGGGACAGCCCGTCGGGGCCGGAAACCTTATAGCTTTTGAGATAACTTATTTCTCGGGTAAGTTCCATTTCAGAACAAGGACTGATGTCAACTAGCAGTATTTGCACAGTTGAATCGGGTGTAGGGAACTCTTGTTCTGACGATGGCCAGCTGAACTCGGCCTTATAATGTTTTCCCTATCGATCTAGACTGCGTTGCTGAATATGAATATGGTAAGCGACCGAAAATCCATTTCATAACATCCGGTTACAAAAAAACGACATAAAATGAATGCAACCGGAGAGATCGATGATCAACTTATTAGATAATTCAACTGTCACTCACCCGACGAGTGCCGCGATAGTCTTCCGGTTCCACCCTACCTCGTTTGTTGCCTTCTTGCACTGGGAAAAACCGAACGCAAAAGTGAAAAGTGTTTGTTGATAAAGAAGCTTCTTAGGTATGATTTATCTGACCCATGTTCACACGTACATGAAATGCTAACGCACGGAAATGCAAGAGAGAACCAACCTTAGCATTTCTTTACACCGCGGAGTACTTTCGGGGTGAGTTGGAAGTGTAGAACAAAGATGTATCACTGGCGATCGACCACGGAATAATCTTGATTAACTAACTAGTCACTTATAATGTCTTTTAGGTCCCTACGTTCCGGATGGTAGGCAACCCAGTGGTCGCCCGGCTAACTACTATGGTCATCCTAGTGAGGCCACAGAAAATTCAACACTGAAGCTTCCATGGTATCTTTACAGTACAAGCATTTTCAAACTCGGAAAAAGCGATTTCCTGAATGGTGTACCCAAACTTGGAACCGTGCTGTACGCTTTAAAAACTCAGCATTTCGCCGTGGTCTCCACACACTTCATTCAGTATCCCGCAACTGCCCCGAGCAAACCAGAAACAAATGTTCCATCATCATTCACCGCGCTAAACAGCATTACATTCATCACAAGGCATAACGCATGTCTTCTTTCGCCACTGGTAACTGAACATTCTGGTTCCTCGTTGAAGCCGTTTTACGCAATTTTTGCCCTACCAACATTCCCAGCGTCAGAGATTTGAACTCCGGACCCATCGCATCGATGATGTATATGCAATACCGATGAGCTCTAATCAGAGTGAAATTCGAGTCTAGTGCTTCCGAATGTATAATTGAATCGATGAACTGAGGATTGTGCGTGAAAGTGAAGTCTGATGGGCCGTGGTAACGTTACCAATTATCATTCCGGAGGATGTGTTCGAATCCCACCACCACCGCCTGACTTTCCCCATTTGTGTATTGTATGGCAGCCCTGGGATTGGCCGCTTCCCCCTTCCTGAAAAATTGTATCTTCCTACATTCAAAAAAAGTAAAATGAAAAGAAAAATCAACCAGTTCCACGTATCTTCCTGAAAATATGGGCCTCGGTTCTACGCTACTTTTTTAATATTCGCTCGATCTTATTTCTGCGCGCCGGAGGCGCAAAGCGCTTTTCACATACAAGCACTTTTTATGCAAAGCCCAACCCACCCGATGCTCGAATACTGCAGTCACATATGTGGTGGGGCTTCGTATTCCGATCTTTCTCTCATGTCACCAGTTTTTTCACAAAAATTTGAAATCTAGGTATATTCACATACTACTTTTTATGAAATAATCTATCAAGACCATCAGATCACGTTTGTTGCGGTTAGTAGCCCCTAACTTACTTACAAAACATCGAATCATAGTATTGATTCTTCAATGGAATGACTCTGAAAGAGCTGTTACCCGATGTTGCAAACAAGGTTATTGTGACGAAAATACACTCCCTGGGTAAACGTCTAAGAATGAACTGACAAAAGATTACCGGATAAGCATGCATGACGAGCGGCAAGAACCGCGAAACCGGTCGTGTGTTTCCAGTGAAATTTCATCCAGTAATTGACATACTACTTATTATGATACATATATATATCGCATTTTCTGTAAAGGTAAAGGTCCTGAAAATAAAGTCTTGTGATGTGGAAATATCAAATTAGGGCTAATGGAAACGGATTTCGTTCCCCATTTTTCCATTCCTGTTGCGGAATCGGGATTTCAATGAGATTTAACTTACCGTGAAGTGAAGCAAACAAAAGCGATTGCCATATTATTACCATATAACCTGCTTTCTTCTCTATAAATTGCTCAAGTGATTGACCTATATTGTGCGTGTGCATCTCCGCCTTACCAGTAAGAGTGAGGTTGTCAGCTGAAAGGGGGCAAGTAATACGTGAGCAACAGCGGGCGAATAGCCGTTTACTCCAGCTACCCGATATGGACCGAGGCGTGCAGATAAAACTTCTACAAGGATGTATATCCAACGGTAACTCGACAACTAACCACATGAACATGAGAAAAAATGCCCAGCTATGACTAATTCACAATCAATATCTTTTTGAAATATGCAAACACAAATAATTTACAGGTTAATAAATCGTGAACTTACTATCATCGTCGTGAGGTCGTTTCCAACTTCCATCACGCCTAAAGGTAGAGGGTTTAAAAGATTTTACTAGATAAGCGCATAAAGGAAATCAATCTATCAAGTTTATTTCAATTCATATCAANGAGAGCATAGGAAGGTACTGCCGTTTAAAGAGTTACATTGTTTCAAATGAAATTCTTTTTGGAATGCTGCAGGATGAAACTACAAGAATATATTTGAGTCTCATGGCCAGCGAATAACCTTTCTTTGAGTGACTGGTCCACATCACTTTTTGTAACATCTTTTTGAATAAAGAAAACAACCAATCAAGAGTCAGTACAAAGTGTTTTTATTCACAGGCTAGGTACCACAAATAGTATGATTATTCTCATCAGCGGGTTTTGCTTATGCTGTTACTCATATGAGGTGGTGAACGCAGTGAGATGAGCCCAGAAGACTGAGTAAAGTTACTAACAGTTCCTTTCTTTCTCCAGTTTGTAACGCTGTCAAAGTAAATTGTCGAACAAGGAACAATGACGACAAAAATGCTTACTCCATTCTAAAATGATTTATTTACAAATTTCTCAAAGTGTCAAGAACTGGGATAATAACTACCGGAATACAACGTTGCGCATTCAGATAACGAGGTGATCACATTGAATGATACATCCACCGTAAACGTATTGCATTCGAGCATACGCCGCTCCAGAACACTGCTGTATATCTGCAGCTTTGCTTAACGAAGGGAACTAAGGAGGGAAACCCAATCTATCAGGTCAAGGAAAACTGTGATTGTTGATCTACGGTGCGGCACTTCTCGAAAACGAACGATCAATCAACCATGAAGATGACGATGGAAAATTTTTGGGGTCGCATGTCCTGCAGTGAGAAAATGGAGTGCACCAAAGGGAAACCCACATCTTGAGTGAGGGCTAGAGTTATGTTCGATGGCTTTAACTCATCCCACAGCTTGAATGCAAGAATGTACATCTGGATTGCGAGGGTTAACCATTTCCGGGGCAAGATAGTCTGGTTGAAATGAAAACTAAATTATCGAAGATATATTCGTGTTGGGATTACTCGCGTCAGAAAGCGTCATCATCGATACCGGTCAGGTTTTATCACTTCTTCCGTACCAGAGCGAGCTGCCGGGTAGGATGTACAAACAGATTTTATTGCTGAACGCAGTGCATATATGATACCGCAAATCACGACGAGACGTGGGGTGATGGTCTGTGCACCTTTTTGACCCAACGAGCTATACAGAGATGGCTCTTGACAAGCTGATGATTACGCCTAGAGGGTCGAGGGGTAGAGGTCAGATAAAATGCAGTCTCCTGATCCTCCAGGTTGAGGTTTTAATCGTAGTTAGCGTCTCAGTTGGTAAAGAATAGTAGAATGGGAATCGAGTCAAGTGAATGGACCTCCACTTCACTTTATCGGCTGCCTTGCGGTCAGGTTCTTGTTCGAATTAAAGGCCTTGGACGAGAAAGCTAATCGTTCTACCGCTTAGCAGTTAGACTCCCTGGCAGTTCCCGTCCACGAAGCACCAATGAACACACAACTAAAAATAAATCCGCACAGCATCGGTCGTCGCCCAGGATAATCAGGACCGCGCTGCCCTTTGCATCAAGCGGGGGGTGTAATGATAAATGGGCTATTGCTCAGATATCCCAACCTTTGTTTAATTCTTTGTCTTCAGTATTCAGCCCTCTCCATTGTCCTGCCCTTACGACCTGTAATAGTCCCTCAAGCAACTTGGATGTCGCTCGTCAAAGGTCGTTGCTAAATAGCACTGTAGGTAATGTATTTCCAAACGAATTGCAGATTCTAAAGCCTCGTCAATCAATGGATCTGGGGGCCTTCAACGTAAGGACCCTGACGCAGGTAGGTCGACAAGCTTGTCTGGCGCATACCATGGAATCCTTAGGTATCGATATTTCCTGCGTATCGGAGTCTCGACCACAGGATACCGCTACTATGAGCCACTCGAGCGTTGCATAGTTGTCTTCGAGATACGTTCTTTGCACATCAGGAGACGATGAAGCTCGTTCCGCAGGCCAGCTTGGGATAGGTATTGCTATATATACATATATATATATATATTCATTGTCTGTTAGGCAAGCAAGTCAATACAATATTCTTCAGGAAAAAGAAAAACGTCCCATGATCGGCCCCTGGGCTGAATACTGCCGGGTTGCCCAGGCCAAAGAAGGTGAATTTCCTTGAGGGATGCACAACCGGGGCCTCTGGATAGTCTAACTCGCAGGGCAGACAGCTACCTCAATAAGTTTACATACTTCCGCAGCATTCCTTTACGAAGCAGCGACCTCATAATAGCTCCACGGTCAACGGAATTGAATGCCTCTTTTAGATCAAGAAACGCTGCGATCTTTGGCCCACAATGCTTGTGACACATGTCGAGGATTTGACGTAGAGTGAAGATTTGGCGGATGCAACTGCGACCTGGTCGGAATAGAGCTTGCTATTTACGAATATTCATCTCCTTCAAGGGCGTCAGGCAGCGAAGCATCACAAAAGTAAATACCTCTAATTTCTGAAACTAAGCTAATGCCGCGGTCGTTG